ATTTTTCCTAAAGTTTATAGTGAAATATTTGTAATCAAAATTTATGGCAAATATATTGGTATCGGCCGATCTCGGCCATGCGCCTATCGGTATCGGCCACAAAAAGTAGTATCGGTCGATCTCTAATATTTTACATTTAGATTCAATCTTAAGACTAAATGCTACTGTTAAAATAGAGAGGTACAACAAACATCTGTTCGTCTGTTAAAAAACGGTTAAAGTTTTACTGAATAAATAAAGAATTTTAATGATCAAAAGTACAAATACAGGAAGTCGTTTTACAGCTGATTTTAAGCCTTGAGAAAATCATAGTGGTCCTATTATCGCTTGGGCCACTATGATTTTAAAATTAAATCACAAACTGATTGTGGCTCAACTGCTTTCCTTGCACTATCCATTTAGTAGTAGCGAAAGCTTATTTTGGCCAGACTCATCTTAAAATTTAGGCAAACATACCACAAAGAGTGACATTTTGGGCTACTCTGGCGCTGAGTAACTCAATTGTAAACTGAATCGGTGAGTTCCAAAACCGTACAAGTCCAAAATATAACATTTTAAAGTAAGATAGCCATTTTGTTTAAAAATTGTCTTTTCATCGATTCAACTTAAAAACCGTACTATATACCTAGTAGTTAACGTAGCATAGCTGATTGCACCCGTGAAATGAGGAGAAAAACCATACATGTCCGTAACTCGTACGGTTTATCATCTCAACAACAATATAATAGTCAATTGCTGTAGAGCGAGACAAAAAAAGCAAGCTGCAACTTTGCAGATCTGCAAATATGACGGATTTACAGATGCAAGATGCAAGTATCAATGTTTCGTATTCCAAAAGCATCTGCAAATCTGCCATATTTATTACCCCTTAACAACAATAAACCCAAATCCTTTACTGTGTTTAAAAACTGCGTTAACCTGACACCACGAACTACGTTCAATCAATAGCAACAGAAAACTTAATGTTTATTAAAAAAAAATAAAGAAAAATTGAAATTCCGCAAGTTTGCAGGATGTTCCAACCTTTTGTAAAGTTACAGATGATTTGTAGACGCAAAAAGTGAAAACACGTTTCTGTAATACCATGTTTCTCTTCTGCTGTTGCAACTGATAGTTGCAGATGCAAGTACGATTTGCAGAGCCTCTGTAATCTTACCCATAAGTAAGTTGGAAAACCACAAATGCTAAAAATTATTATTAGATGACTAAGATAACAGTTTTTGTATTGTATTTTTTCTCCTTCTTGAATAAATTTTAAGTAAATCAAAAAAATTTCACCTCTTTCTATTTATATACAGGGTTGAGTTCAAAAGCAGTACAAGTCCATGCTCCATTTGTATCTGTAATTGGTAGTCCATTTTATTTTCTGAAAAACTACCTTTGAAAATACATTGCAAACCACGAAACCTAAAACTTTTCTATGCATAAAATTAGTCTATGTCAAGTAGTTTAAACGTTAAAAAGTTTTTATTGTTTTTCTCGGAAGGCTGATTTTGGACATGTTCGGTTATTAACTCACCGATTTAATTGATTTTTTACAGCTACATTTTATCCATTAGATCCATTAATCGACAACTTTAGAGCGTCGTACATATACAAGACCAGTAGAATCACTGGGGCACATGCCGACACACTAGACCCTCTCTAATCTCCCAAAACCAGCAAGTTTCCAGCAGGCAATGTTGGCTCTTGGCTCAGTCAATGATCATACAGTTCATAAGGGCGACGACGCTTATTCTCGGCGTTCATCGGCAAAATAATGTTTAAAGAAGATTAATGATTCCAGTCAGAGTGACTTAACCTTATTTTATAAACGATGCTTAGGCCGGGCGCAAGTTGAGTAGCGGTTCGGTGATGTGAGGTGACTATAAAACACACAAATGAATACAAAGTGCGTACGAACATTCGGTATTGAATTTTTTGCTATGTTTTACAGAAACTCACGGTGGGTCCACTCGTCTCATCTCATCAAAGTACGTCTCAATTTTCACCCGGTCTTAGTGTTTCCCTAAAATTCTTTTTTGAATTTTGAATGTCGCGTCGAAGATAACCATTGATAATCATTAAAGGTTATTATTTTAACAAATATCATTGAAATACGATTTAAACAGAGTAGAAAAGGTACTAAACAAGAATAATTATTATTTATAAAAATTGCATGTACTAGATACTAGATAAAGATAAATCTAGCACAGTAAAACCCGTTTTTTTTAGAATTTCAAAATATTACTAATGTCAAAAAAATATAATTTTTACTTTCCTATCTGTATACAGATATAAGGAAAGTATAGGAATCATGATTTTTTTCGACCTCGAGTTTTCGACGGATTTTTACGTTTTGAGGTCCCCTGAATCCGTTTTGACTATTTTCGCGATGATGTGTGTGTGTGTGTGTGTTTGTGTGTGTGTGTCTGTGTGTGTGTGTGTGTGTGTGTGTGTGTGTGTGTGTGTGTGTGTGTGTGTGTGTGTGTGTGTGTGTGTGTGTGTGTGTGTGTGTATGTGTGTGTGTGTGTCTGTATAACGCATAACTCATGAACCGATACACGGAAAAACACCAAATTTCAAACTTAAGCTTTGTTCTAGCGTCTAATGAGCTGATTAGATTTTGGGCAGAGTCGGAACATCTGGGGGGGTACTTTATAGGTGGTCATTTTTATATTTTATGGAATATATCTGTTATTTACGTTTGGAGAAGAAAATTCTTCAAATAAAAGTTACTTCTAATACAATTATCTATAATTTTTGTTATATACAAAATTTTCCTAAAATGGTCCGTATTCGCGAAATTTGACAAAATGTAAAAAAAATAATTTTTTATAAAAATTGTTCAAATAAAAGTTGTTTGTAATATAATTCTCTATAATTTTTATCCTATAGATAATTTCTCTAAAATGGACCGTATTCGAGATATTTGAGAAAATGTGTAAATTTCGAAATTTGAAGAAAACTCAAAAACGGATAAAGAAAAAAACATTAAATTTTAAACTTAAGTTTTATTTCGGCCTGACGTGAAATGATTAGATTTTGGACAAAGTCGGAACATCTGGGGGGTACTTTATGGGAGGCCTTTTTTATATTTTATGGAATATATCTGTTATTTATGTTTGGAGAAAAAAATTGTTCAAATAAAAGTTACTTCTAATATTATTATCTATAATTTTTGCTTTATGTAAAAATTTCCTGAAATGGTCCGTATTCGAAACATTTGACAAAATGTGCAAAATTCTGATTTTTATGAAAATTGTTGAAATAAAAGTTGTTTGCGATATCGATCTCTATAATATTTGTTCATACATGATTTTTTTAAAATGGACCGTAATGGAAAAATTGTAGGAAAAGTGCTAAATCTAAATTTTTCAGTATTTTCATTTTCAATGAATATCTATAGAAAAATGTTTCGCGGTAGATGTATGTGGACAATGTATATATTTAGTTTATCCTCTAAACATTTATAGAGATGCTGCAATAGGTTGTACAAAATAACCGGAAAAAGCCTGTAATAACTAGATAGGAAAGTCATGTGTTGGACACATCAGATTTTTTAAAATATTTTTATTAGTTTTCCCAATAGATTTATTGAATCCAAATCAAAATAACGCAATACTCCAAAAATCCACTACAATATTCGTAAAGTAGATGGAAGGTATTTTTAAAAATAGACAACATGGACAATTCTATTTTGTTACGAAAACAGCTAATTATATTTTTCCAATTGAATTTTAAATCAACTTTGATCTGACAGCAAATCTTAAAAAAATTCTGTGAATGTAAATGTAAAGAATGTTACTTGCAAAAATAGACATGGAACATAACGTTTAGACTAAATTTATTATTGGAGAATAATGTATATACAGGAAACATCTAATATAAATAAGTTTTGTATTATTGGTCGCTAAAAGATGTTTATTTTTAGAAGAAAGGATTGGATAAAATAATTATATTCTGCGAGGGGTAAACCACTGATGTATTATTCTGTACCAGCAATATGTTGTACTATCTATGTACTATTGTATACTATTGTGTACTATTGTGTACTATTGTGTACTATTGTGTACTATTGTGTACTATTGTGTACTATTGTGTACTATTGTGTACTATTGTGTACTATTGTGTACTATTGTGTACTATTGTGTACTATTGTGTACTATTGTGTACTATTGTGTACTATTGTGTACTATTGTGTACTATTGTGTACTATTGTGTACTATTGTTTACTATTGTGTGGTAAAATCCCTCCAAATGGATGCTTCTAAAAATCAGGCACCTGGAGATATCTCTCAGCGACGGTATTACCCTTCAGGACTTTGACCTGAGAGGCTGGATCTCGCTAGACAAATATCAGATTTTTTGACGAGTTTATAACCAACATTCATGAGCTGGAAAGATGGCTGTCTCTGGAAACATCTCGGCGTCTACCACCAGGTTTCTGACAAGTTGAGAGAGAGGTATTGTATGACACTGAAAGATGCACCCTGGACCCACTGTGCTTTGAATTAACTAACACCTTATAAATACGCATTCAGATAAGACAGGTTGACATGTATTTACTATAATATTATTTGGTTAAGTTGTTCATTATTGTAACTGAATATATTTTATTATAATATAGGATATCGGATATCCCAAATATTTTAGTTTGAAATCCTTATTAAAATTAATATACTCAAAAAACTTTAAATGTTTTGAAAAGTAGGAAGTATAATGTTCTATTTTTGATATTTGAGAAGGAGGAAGCTAGGGAATCTGTAAACATTTTTCGCATTATTTGGCATAATAAAAGATTGATCATATAGCCAGCCACAAAATGAAAAAATGTAAACATGATTTATGATTAAGAAATGGATATCGATTAATTCTGTTTTAACCATATTATCTAATATATAAATAATACATAAAATAATTAAGCAAGGGTATTAAAAAAACATATGTGTCAAAATTTCTGTTAAACCTATTTTTGTTAAGTTTTCTTTTATACGAAAGCAACATCACACATTACTAACCTATTTTATATTCTCTGTTGTCTTGTGCCCAGGGAAATCCAAAATTAGCAAAAACTATGAGAACTCTAACAAAAAATAGCGGTAAATGTTTTTGACTGAAAATCATCACGATAATATATAAAAAGTTCCATACATCATGTTCGTTCAATACAACCGACACTGTTTGTCGCTAGATTTCTACCGACAGTGTTGTCGGGTTTCAACGTTAAAAATATCCGCTAGGAATAGCTTCTACTATTTTCCATTTCAAAAATAGTTCTTGTAAAAATTATAAAAATTTAGACATTTTTATTAATAAGTACAATAATTGATAAGTAACAAGTATTTCTAAAAATTGTTCTTATCTAAAAATGATTGGTACCTATGTATCTGTTAAATAAAACTCCATAACTGTGTAAAAGTCTAAATTTACAAACATCTTATTTATTATAATTCTGTTTTTCGACTTTAAAACCAATACAGTGGATAATGCTGTGGCTAACTGGCAAAATTATATGTCCAATTTTGATAATTTTAACATATACATACCACCTGCTGTATTTTATGTACCTCTAAACGTTGGAAAAACGATTTATGCAAATAGTATTCCTATTATAGGACAACCAGTGGCGGCTTGTGACAAAACTTTTGGGGGTTCACAGTCACAGAATATAGATATGAGTACAGTTTTTTACCTATATCCAAACCGATATCTATATGCTGCCACTGTGAACCCCTAAAATTTTAGTCATGAGCCGCTCTTGTTCCTATATGTATATTCAAAACCAGATACCTATGACATCTTTTCAGTATTTGAAAGTAAACAAAATAACATATACAGGCTGTTACTTAATTATATAATTATAGGCCGTAATAGGTTCATTTCTGAACCTAATTCAAGTATAAAAGTTCATATAAACGTGTGTCCCCTAAAATCTGTTATTTCTAAACATAGAGTGTCTAAATTAAAAAAAATATATTAATGTCTAAATAATGCTACATTCGCGTCTTATCACAATAAAAAAACACTGCCAAATTTCCCAAAACTCTATGAGATATTAATAAAAAACCGATTTCTTTTTATATTTTATTTTTGAAAACTAGATTTTAGGACACATATTTGAACTTTTGTACTTTAATTTGGTTCAGAATTATGCCGTTGGAATTACGGCCTAACATTAAGTGACACCCTATATATTGTGCTTACTTATTTTTACCCTTTCCAACACATCTGGATTTGTCAAATAATCACAGAATTGCATTTAGCTCTCCTGTTAATTGAATCTAAGAATGGATAAGAAGTTTACTGTTTACCCACTTATTTTAAAATTTCTAAATATATTGCTTAAAAGAACCATATTTACATTTTCACAAAAATTAAATATATGTGTAGGTAAATAAATAAATTAATAAACTAGATGTTTATTGCTGATTGCCGTTTCATTATTTACTTCAGCTCTACTACTATTTTTTTAAATTTTATATGCATAATGTTTTTAGGGCCCAAACTGAAGTTTTAATTGTTTTTAACTTTTAGTTACTAAACCTGGACGCGTTCTTAAATATTTTAAAGCTAAATGTCAAAAATGAAATGCAACGTTAATCTATTTTTTCAAAATTTGTTACTGCATTTAAAATCAACACTATGGAACCGTTAGAAAACCTCCTTATTCTTATGTTTACAACATATTAGGCTACTGTAAACTTCAAGAAATTTGACTTAAAAATTACAAATAATGAGAAACTGAATATTTAGGTATAATAATCCTACACCGCGGTTATTTAATATTGGTTTTAGATAGGAATATTCTGCTGAGGTACTTGCTAAAAATACTTTATGTATATTTCATATTAGAAATATTATCTGTTAAGGTTTTCTCGAAATATTTAATGATATGGCAACAGCAGCTATGGTTTATTCCTCTCAGATGGAGAGGATCTATTTTTGGGACAAAAACGTCGTCTCTCCTTTATATTCCAGTAATATTTTAAGCATCTTCTGTAGGGAAGTGAAAACATGCGGGGACTTTGCATACAATTCATTTCAATATTCCAGAACGTACCGCAATACTATTATAGCAACTCGACAAGATTGCGCCTTACCAAAATTTATTTTATTCGTGGGACGGGTCAACTACACTTGGTTGGGTTAGATTAAAATAAATCATGTCAATTCAAAAAATTTCACGCCATAGGCGGAGTGCTCAATCGTCATAGTGCAACATGACTTTTACCGTATATTATTTTCTACGACCCACTAACGAAAATCCACAGTTTTAAAAATTAATTTAGGTGTTATTAAGATAAAGTAACAACTACATAGATAAATACCAAAAAAATGTAAAACTATGAATTTTGCTAATAATAAAATAAAATATGGCTTAAAATTTTTAATTAAATTGATTTTAAATGGTTTTAATAAAATTTTGAGTTTCTCTGTAAATATAAACGGAATTCTAGTGGATTGCCATTATATTAGTTTTTCACAAAAATAACTATTTTTTAATTATACATAATTTTAATAACTAAAAAAATACAAATACAAAATTTTTTAATGTAATTATCCAAAACATATAACATTAATAAATTAAAGATTTAAGGTTATATTAACGAAATATTTCTACTGTCAGTAATAATTTGTAAGCAGTTAATAATAATGAATTAACCCCATTCAATTTATTTGGGGCCTTTTCAAACAATATTACAATAAACATATTGGTAGAGACGGTAATAAAGAAAACGATCGTTTAAATATGTCTGTGTACAATTACCCCCAAAGTATGGAAACATTTTATTGAACAAACAAAAGATAAACAGGATGGCCACTTTTTTAATGGGATTGTATTAGTAATTTCCAAATCATACTAGTTAGAAAGTCGGTTAAATGGAGTTGCCTATCTCGTAGCACAAACTAGCGGTGGAAATTAATCGAAAATAGTAGGCCCGGTTCTTGAGATATTTCGATAAATGAAAATTCGATCTTTTCGGTTTTTTGGTTATCGTTCATTTATTTTTAGAACTACCAAAAAATATTTTAAAAGTTTTTTATTTGACAGTAAGTTTTCTTTGATTTGACGTTTTCATATTTTGCATCCAACATTTCGTATTCTCCGAACCACCCTCAACTTATTTTTTTTTAAATATGGACCTGAATATTTTATAACATTATTTTAAATAACTTTGCATTCTGCATCCGTTGGTGTATTACACAATGGCATTCAATGACGGTTTTTGGGTAATATGGACCGTAATTCAAATTTTATTAAATTTATTCTTGGTTTCAGCCATCTTTAATTGAATCAACATAATGTCATACCTCTCGATAAAAAATAAAGTAAATTCTTACAAAATTTATGTTATTCTCCGAAAATTAAACAATTCTTCAACAACAACAATAGTAATGTAGAAATTTTAAAACGAAATTACTGATAATAAAAAGAAATTCAGTTTTTGTAAGTCATTATTAAGTCAAATTATTTGAAAATATCAATTAAATTAATTGAGTAATTGTTTAAAATGTCCGCCATCTTCTTTAATACACTTGGCGATTCTCATATCCATATTTCTTAGGCTACTGCTTTTTTCTTCTTCTTGGATATCTTCCAATGCATCTTCAATTTTTTCGCGGAGAATCTCAATTATATTCGGTGTATTACACACTTTATTTTTGAGACGTCCTCACGAATACAAATCTAATGGATTCAGATCTCGAGATCTGCTAGGCCACGCCACTGGACCTTTTGTTCTAATCCATGAATTGGGAAAAGTCTAATTCAAATAATCCGTGATCATTCTTGAATTGTGTGGACCACATTCATCTTGTTGTAACCATATTTCGTTATAACAATACTCTATAGGAAGATCATCTAACATGTCCTGCAGGATATCTTAATATTTTTCTGCAGGTTTCCATCAATAAAGTATGGTCCCAGTAATTTATTATTTAACAAACCATACCCACATATTCAAAGAGAAACGATATTGATGTATCACTTCTTGGATTAGGTGAGGATTTTCCGTGGCATAAAAATGTTTAGTTCTTCGATTGAACATACCAGAATTTGTAAATGTTGTTTCGTGTCCCCAAATGATATTGTGTGCAAAGTTATTATTAATTCTTATCTTCTGTTTAAACCAATTACAAAATCGCAATCTTCTCTCAGGCTCATTACGATATAGTTTTTGTACCGCTTGGTATTTGTAATCATGGTATCCGTGTCTCTTGACTATCTTATTAACAGCACTTTTTGATAAATTATATTCACCTGCAATAGTCCTCGACCCAACTCCTGGATTTATTCGAATTTGAGCTAAGACATTAATATCGTTAACTGGCTCCTTTCTTCGAACATACGGAACTCTAGGTTCATCGAATGTATTGTGTTCGAGAAGAGTTGTAGACAAACGCCGATTTTTTTTTATATTTGGTTGCATTTTGTCGGGATATAAATTCGTGTACCTTTGTTTTGCTCTAAACGAATTTCTGTCCATTTTAATGTACAATTCGTACATATCTCGTTTTTCTCCTGCAGTGTATCTTACCATATTGAAGTTAGACTAGGTACCAAGAAACACACAAAAAACTTTAGAACAATGAAAAGTTTTCGTAACGCAATAAAGAACAACATGGACTGTTTTCACAGCCTACTATATTTTATACAAGTAAGATGATACTAGTTTAAAATCACATCAACTGCTGTCCCAGAAATAAAATAATCAATGATATGGTAATTAGATGGAAAAATATTTGAAATAAATAATTACATCTCGAAGTTTATTCAAAGCAGTAACATAAAAAAACTGATATTTTGCCTTTAAATTTGGTAGGTATGTATTGTCAAAAATGAAATCAGGAATATTTTTTAATTATTTATTTTACCAAAATATATTTTTTAGTAGTCAAATTATTGAATAATTTATTGATTTTTATCTATTTTTTAATTAACACTGATTATAAATTCAATACAGATCCGTACCAATTAAATTTGGATTACGGTCCATATTACTCAAAAACCGTCATTGAATGCCATTCTGTAATACACCAATGGATGCAGAATGTAAAGTTATTTAAAATAATATTATAAAATACCCAGGTCCATATTTAAAAAAAAGAAGTTGAGGGTGGTCCGGAGAATACGAAACGTTGGATGCAAAACACAAAAACTTCAAATCAAAGAAAATTTACTATCAAATAAAAAACCTTTAAAATA